AGCAAAACTCATAAAACTATGGTCTCCTTGGTCTGAGCCAAGTGAACCAGCCTCCAGGGACCTCAAGCGCAATTCATTTAATTTAATGACTTAATTACCAATCTTTTCATTTTTTCATTCATCTGTTCATGATAACATTGACTAAAAATACACTTTTACCTTTAATTATAGTTAAAACCTGCTTTATTATTACCTCTGCCGCGGAGGTTATGTTTTTGCCCCTGATTTCCAAGAAACCTGGGACATTTTCTAGGATTTCCCGTTGAATGATTCACATCTTGACTAAATAAATCTGGCAGATAAAAGAGACTGATATCTATGGGTGTGTTTAATGTGCTGTGGTTTAACTGAATTTAAGGGGAATTTTGGGCCTGGGTGGAGGTATGTGCTATTCTTATTCATACATCAAGGTTTTGTTTTTAAAGCCAATAACCGAACATAAAATAACAACAGAATGAACAATGAAGATCAGCTATGATTGAATATAAATATTAGTCCATTTGGTTTTTAGCACTGAGTGTTTATACGAACTACAGTGTAGCTGTAAACTCAAGTGGACAGTGAACTATATTTCACAGCCTTAACTGTTTTGTATAAACAGGTCATAAACTAAGCACAGCCACACATCAATTCACTTTGGAACAGACAGCAGTGAGTTTTTTTTTTAAAATAAATTACAAGGCACTGTAATATGAAGGCGTGATGATGGAAGCTCCGCAGAGAAAAGTGAGCATGATGACATTTTAAAGTATCATTTATTTTGTCATTTGTGTCACTGTGAGAGGGCATTATTTTCTCTGAATATACATAAATCCTGTCTTACACACTGGGGGGGGGGTTATTTGAAAGACAAGGGCCTGTCTACCTGACAGGTAATTAAAGAGTATTAAATATGTTACTGAGCTGAACTGTAGGAAGTGGAGGATCCAGTGATTTGGTGCTTGACTCCATGGAAACTCAGGATGCAACACCCTCAGTTGCTTTATACTAAATTATTTGAGTGACTATTATTGGATTAGAAAAAACATGATTTTTTATTGCAAATGATCCAAGTTAACTTCAAAGTTGATTAAAAGGCAGAACAGACAGGTACACAACAGATGACCCCTAACATCTGCTGGTGGTTAGAAACTAATAATCGAACTAGCGCAGAAGACCTTTAAACATTTAAGGAATATTAAATTCAGTTCAACTCAATTTTATTTGTGTAGCGCCAAATCATAAAATACATTATCTCAAGGCACTTTACACTGAAGGTCAAGACCTTAAAATCGTATTAATATAGAGAAACCCAACAGTTCCCACAATGAGTAGCACTTGAGAGAGAGAGAGAGAGAGGGGGACCATGAGAGAAAAAAAGTGACATAGTTATTGACATGTATTAAAATAAACAAATGAATGGGGGGGGATTTCCTGGGAAATCCTAATAAGAAACAATTACAGTAATCTAGTCTAGAGTGGACTAGTTTCTCAGCAACTTTTCTGAGACAGGATGTTTCCAAATTTTACAATATTGTGCCAGTGGAAGAAAGCTGTGTAAAACAAGTCTCTAGGACATGTGGGTCAAATGACATGTCCTGGTCAAACATAACTCCAAGGTTCCTCACAGTGGAGCTTGGGGCCAAACTGACACCATAGTATATGTTTTTAAAGGTTCAGTGCTCCTCGCTCATTGGGCTTCTAGTCAGGTTGAACTTGGGTAAGAAGCACTGGAATGACAGGAGGTCAGCAAACATTACAAATCAAATAGAAATGATAATAAAGGAGTACCTGTCCCACCAGGTCATAGAAATGATACAAGATAATGGATGGAGTGTGTCCACCTCAACAAGCTTTTACAACTTTAAAGGGACTCCACATTTTTAGCTTTGCACATTTTATACTTTCTCCTTTAAACACAGTCAGCAGTACACTGCTTGCTTTACGTTAATAAACATGGTACAGTTTTTGCAAAAATATGTGCATAAAGTAACAGCACCAGCAGAAAACAGGAAATGTCGAGCAGCAGAGTTGTTTCAGTTCAAAAACCACGTTTTACAAACAACAGGAAGTTGGTCTAAGTGTATTTAGTTGGATAATGTTGTATAGAACATCAGTTAATTAAGATAGAAAATACTTTAACAATGCAATCCTAACCACACCTTATTTTTAAACACACCCATTGGTTCAGACGGACACCAAGGCATTTGTTATTTAAACAACGTGGCCACTGGACCAGAAAATGACGACAGCGTCAAAGGGGAAACTAACAAAGACTTGGTGTCACTTTGCGGAGGATAAAGTAATGAGGCCTCTGAAAGTGCCAATTTCACAGCAGCTCAGTTAAAGCACAATCACAAGTTCTTATATCAGTGTGTCTTCAGGAAAGAGGAATGCTAATAACACTCATCGGGGAGGCATTCAGGTTTAATCTGCTCTGCCTCCAAGTGTCATTGTTCCGTCCATGGGGACAAATTAGTATCTGTCTGGTACTTTTGACACAATGTTGAACAAAAGAAATCCTCAAACTTTGACTGTCACATCTCTTCAGACTGTTTTAGAGCTTCACCGCTGAGTCACAAGCAGGAGTAGATGAAAATTACAATCTACTGATTGCAAAAATTACATTTGCCACTGTTTCCCCCCATGAACAGACTGACTGCTGACTGCTGATGACGTCTTCGTTACCATTTTTAGAGGTGGTGAACACATTTCTCATCCAAATGAATGTGTGATTTCCTTCCTTTCTGCATGGTATATATGTGAAATATATTTTTGAAGATAGCAGGTGTTCTGTGCAACTATCTATCTATCGTGCCTTCTAGCTTCCTGTCTCTGTGTCTCTGAGTTGCACCATCAGTATGAAGCAATGGGCTTGGCACTGAGTCACAGACAGGATACTGAAGTCAAGAGCAAGATAAACATGATCCTTATTTTATGTCTTCGCAGGAATTAATTTGGAACCAAAACAGAAATAAGCAGCCTTTAAAGGTACAGTGTGTAGAATTTAGTGATATCTAGTGTTGGAATTTGCATGTTGCAGCTGAACACCCCTCACCTCACCCTCTCCTTCCAAACATGAAAGAGAACCTGTGGTAGCTTCAGTTGTCATAAAAACTCAAAAGGTGTTTAGTTTGTCCAGTCTGGACTAATGTAAAAAACATGGCGGCCTCCGTAGAGAGGGTCCCCTCAATGTAAATATAAAGTATTTAAATATAAAGAACCTTTTCTGGGGTAAAGAAAACTACAATTCATACAATTTAGATGAAACAAACTGGTGAAAACTTCATGAGAATTATTCTACATTCAATTTCACACTGGACCTTCAACTAAAACCAAGTGTCAAGTGACGATATCACAGACAGAGAGTCAGAGCAGTCTTTCCGTTGAAAATAAAAACAATGAGTACATCAGAAATTTAAAAATAATAATTCTGCATTTTTGTATGAGCTGTAACTGAGTCATCAGTTAACCGCATCGCACTCGTACTCCCATATAATATCTTACAGTAACTGCTTTAGTGTAAATCTGGCTGAGGTTCCATCCAATTCTTACCAGAACTGAAAACATTTGTCCTTATCTGTAACCACACCATGTGCAGATACTGTAGAAGGCTGACTGCTCAAAGAATTCTGTCTTTGTATTTGGTTTTACAAAATCATGCAATATATTTTTACCTGTTACCGGTTATGTAAAGACTGACGTTATAAATAATATGTAAAAGTGCAGCTGCCTTGTTCATTTCTGTTGGTTAAATCCAAATCTGATAGGTGCCATTGCACATTCCCGGTAGATTTCTTTGTAGTCTATTGTTTATCTGGCAATCTTCAGGCTCAGCACTGTTAGCTGCCAGAGTTGTAAACCCCCGTCCTCCTCCTTGTATTATAAACTGCTGTGTTGTGATTTTGGCACCTGATAACTCCCTCATGGAGCTGTACTGCAAACTGGCCTTTCTCGATCATATTTTATAGTCTCACTCTGCTGAAGCAACACAGGAGTTGTTGGTGGGAGCCATAGACTGTATATAAAGATGGACGACATGACAGCTCCCGAAAGTGAAGCCAAAACATCTAAAAAGTAAAAGTACGCATCAAATATTTTTTTCTCAAAGATGTTTGTTGTCATTTTATGTAGTTCTTACAACACTGATGTAGGTTCAAGTGTTCTTGTTTCTGATGAGTGTGGTTTTAATTAGTTTTTTTGATGCTAAAACAAACAACAGAGTGAAACTGCATGATTGACAGCTGAGACTGACTCATGATGCTGTCGCTCCACATCACGATCACTAGTGTGCAGACACCGGCTTCAAACGTCAAAAATGCAAGATGGTGGCACCTTTTTCTAAAATATTTTGGTTTCATTTTTGTTTGGTAGGAGGAAGTAGAGAAGCATCATCCATGTTTTTTTTTTTTTTACAATCCCTGGTCTGAACACCTTTTTTAGTTGAAGCGATGTGATTTTTAGAAAACTTGCGTTCGAAATTTCTTTGTCACTTTTCTTTGTTCGCAAGCTCACATGCTCCTCTGGGGCACATGGGTCAGTTTCCTACTTCATGGAGTTGATGGGATGGCTGTGGCTGAGGGGTAGAGCGGTTGTCCTCCAACCAGAAAGTCAGAAGTTCAATCCCCAGTCTTCCCATCTGCATGCCACAGTGTCCTTGGGCAAGATGCTGATCCCCAAATTGCCCCATAGAACAACAAAAAGTGCTGCTAATAGATGCACTGTATGAATGTGTGTGTGAATGGGTGAATGGAGAACTGTAGTGTAAAGCACTTTGAGTGGTCATCAAGACTAGAAAAGCGCTATATAAATAATATAAAAAAATATTTGCTAAATTCTTTGTGGACGTTCACAAGGGTCACAGTGAGTTGCAAGCACAGATGTTCTCAGCCTGTCTCTGTAAATAGAGCCTCTGAATCTGATCCAAGGAGGAGGGTGATTCTGTAGCAATGCTTTGCTCTTAGCAGATCCCTCCCTTTTATACACACACATCTCACCAACACACTTGAACTTCCTCACCCTGGCTGCCTGACAAGTGACTTGAACTCATTTTGAGTCAGACAGTGAGCAGAAGCGTCTCCACTGGCTGGGCGGTAAGTCATCACAGCTCAGCACGAACATCTGCTTTTATTTTCCTTCTTTTAGTTGAACACATTGTATTGGCGCTCTCATTTTCTTGAGTCTCAGGAGCACATTTGCAGAGTTTAATCGCTCTTACATACCTGAAAACTATTTTTAAGGATTGATCATTTTATCATTTCAAACACAGTATGGTTTAATGGCTGCATTTGTTCTTCTGACAGATTATCCTGCAAACATTTGAGATGGAACCTCCAGCATTCGATTACAACTATAGTATTTACAATGACTCGGATGATGATTTCGCACCGTGTGACAGGAACAAAGACAACATTTTCGGGGCTCAGCTATCCATCCTGTACTACTTCATGTTTCTCTTCAGCCTCTGTGGAAATGGGCTGGTTCTGGTCATCATCCATCGGTGAGTGGACTACAAACAAAAAAACCATCTCAGCTTGAATGAAAACAAAGACTGCATAATGCAGGCATGATTAAAAATAATCCATCGTAAACAATGTCTAGGTTTGCAGTTTAATGTAGTGTCCATGACCCCATCTGAAACGTTTTTATGGGGGTTAGTTTAAATTACTGTATGATTTAGTGTTTAGAATACACACACCCAGAATTAGGGTATAATTCAGATTTTATAGTCGGTGTAAATGAGAGTTGTAGATGTTGTGACTGCAAGTGTGGTATTAACTACTGGAAACACTCAATGAGCAGCTATTTAGGCAGAAATACAACAAAAGACCAACCGGTGAATCTGTTTTCTCTGCAACCAAACAACCCATGTTGTTTTACAAAGACATCTGTCAATCACAGGTCTTTTCCCATCATTCAAAGAGTAGCCCTATGATCCGTGATCTTATTTTATGGCACAACAACGTTTAAATCAGCAGTAACTTAGCTCCAGTATGGTTTGACGAGTGACTAGTTTAAAATTAGGTCAATATCACTGACTTCATGAGCTTATATGCAACTATGTTTGTTTATGAGTTGGGTGCATATTTTCAATGTAAATCCAGTGCAGGGGTTGTGGATTCAGCTACTAACATTAAAACTATCACATTGAGCCTTGATTACAGAATGTACATACACTGAATGGTTTTGCTGGAGGTTTTCTGAGCATAAATGTCAAATTTGGGTTGATGCATGAGGACTGTAACTTTAAATAACATAAAGCAACACTGTGCAAGTGTGTTGCACTGTTGAGAATTAGTTGTCTTTGCTGTTGACATGAACGAATGTTGTTGTTATCGACAACGTCACTGACGAGTCCCAGGCCCCGCTGCTACAGAGCGTTTTGGTCAACATTATATTCAAATTGTATTCATACTGAATGTATCACGTGCCCAGATTGCACCAAATCAATAAAGCATACCTTTAACAGTACAAATGCCAATCGAGGAGCCGATGAGATGAACTGTTCTCAAGATTTGCGAGACATACAGACAGATTTCTAGAATTAAAGAATAGATTGTTCACTGACTTGGAACGGGGAGAATGGGGCCACTTTCATTCCCTCTCCTCACCCTGAACAGAATCTCCTATGAGCAGTAAGGAACTGTCAGATATCAGATTTCAGCTTAAATAACCAGAATAAGGCCAAGAAAGTTCCAGAGTAATGCTGAACTGTGCATCAGTTAAAAAGACTTAAAAACAGCATTTATCTCCAATTTTCAGTTAGGAGATGTGTGATTGAGAATTTAAGTGTGAATCAAGGTCAATTTTAATTCCATATATGAACCACCCTCATATGAGTGGGCAAAATAGCAGAAACACTCAATGCAATACAGTTCAACAGAATCACATTCTACAAAGACACCATGAATCAAGTCTCTTTTTAAATCAGTTTCACTTTCTCACATTTGGGAGGCAAAGAGGATGACAGGGCGATTGTTAGATGAAGTCGTAAAAAAGAAGCCCAGAGAGACAGGAATACAGTAACTAACAAGAACTATCAGTAACTATTCAGAGGTGAAGTTCCTCTCAGAGTCACTTTAAAGTTACTGATACTGATCTCTTACTTTGTGAGCAAGCAAAAATTGACGCTGGTCATGAAAAAACACAAATGACAGCGTCAGAGGGGATCTCAGCAGAATCTGACAGGGCTGTGAATTTAGAACACAGTGTATTATGGAGGTCTGAAGAGATGCTGCCAGGGTAAGTAAAGACACTTTCTATGGATCCATTCAGGCACAGAAAATACAAGTGAAATCTCCCTCCCTCATTTCCTTCTTCAAAAACCTTGATTATGAATACTTTTTTCTAACGTTCTAAAAGTAGATGAACAAAACACTATTCAGTCCTGCGGCTTAGCTGTGGACACATTTTAATCAATTAAACCAATGTGATTTTTAGTCCTTGATGCATTGACTTCAGCGATGTAGATTCTTACAGCGTTAATCGTTGAGGCTGGGAATGCTTTCGAACATCTTTTCATAACCCTCCTGAAGAAGGTAATCTTTCCTTTTCTCTTTGGTTTCTTTATCTACCTATCACATATATTTTCATTCAACCCATTGTAAAAGACAAAATAACCACGTTTCCAATACTCCTAAGTAAATAAGTAAGTAAAAAAGAAAAAAATATATCTTTTTCAATATTTATTCTTTTCATAACCTTGACCGAACCTATGTTCAGGCTTAAGGTGGATTCATACCATGTTAGTGAAACTTTTTTGCCTCGCAAGTCAAATCACATTCAGTTATTTCAGTCAGACAACTAACGTTTGAAATGTTTATTGCAGTAGCAGGACATGTTAGGTTTTGGCGTCTATGCTCCGATATAATCGGAGTTATGAGCAAAATATAAAACCCCCGTCAGAGCCTACAGGTGGATGATGGGGCTTAACCACTCAGCAGCAATACTGGCACAGCAGCAGCGGGGGCGCAAGCAAAGTGGGTGATGGGAAATCTTTGCTGTTTAAATAGACCACTGAATTGGGAGGGTGTGTATTGTAGAGGGTTGTTCAGAGCGGTGCATGACATGTGATTGCAGCATTGCAGGTAAAGTTGGCTTCTGCGGGAACCCAGATCATGCCACATGAAACCAGTTCAAAATAAAGGATCAGTGTCAAACATTTTTGATCCATCTAGACTCTTGTTCTTCCTAGGTTTGAGAAGCTAACCACTGTGACCAACATCCTGCTGCTGAACCTGTCGTTGTCGTCCCTGATCTTCATGAGCAGCCTTCCCTTCATGGGGGTGTACATGCAGCTCTCCAGCTGGATCTTCGGCAAGGCTATGTGCAAGATTGTGTACAGCGTCTACTTTCTGGGCTTCTCCAGTTCTATCCTCTTTCTTACTCTCCTGACCTTCGACCGACACCTCGCTGTCGTCTACTCCTTGGGGGCATCGCGAGTGAGGAACCAAGGTTATGCGGCCATCTCCTGTGCTGTGGTGTGGCTTATCAGCAGCCTGGCGTGCATCAGGCCGATGATCGTCGTCACCACGTTTAGCCATTATTCCTCAAACAATACTCACTGTGATGAGTTTCCAGGTGATTTGCCAAATATTAATATGGAACATCTGATGAAAGCTCAATTTTACATTCAGCTTTTTCTTTTCTATATCTTCCCCCTGGTGGTTATTATCTACTGTTACCTAAGGATCACGATCACTGTCCTCTCATCCAGGATAGTCACCAAGTTCAAGACTGTCAGGCTCATATTCATCATCGTCCTGCTGTTTTTCCTTTGCTGGACTCCGTTCAACATTGTACTGCTGATGAGTGTTGAAGGGTGTGCGCAGATCCAGAGAAGGGGTTATGCACTACACATCACTCGCAACATTGCTTATATCTACTTTTGCGTCAGTCCCATCTTCTACACATTTGTGGGGAAAAAGTTCCAAAACTACTTTAGGCAGATTCTGGTGACACGCTTCCCACGGTTAAAGAGGCACATCTCTGTCAGTCAAAACAGCAGCAAAAACTATGTGTCCACAAAAACCACGCCTAATGATCTTTAGGAGTGTGGAGCCCTTTATTCCTCAGCACTGGTTTGTGTCCTTCAAAGCATGTTTTTTAAAAACACCTGAAATAACTCCATAGACCCCTGTAAGACCTGGTGTTAACATCTGTCCTGAGTGATGTGATCACAAGTGGACTACTCCAAGTACAGGTCTGAGCACACTGAGGATGCATCTTAGAGCACTTTACCGATTCACATTCACATTTGAAGTTGGTCTGGGATCACCTGCTGATGTCTCTGACCCGCTACCATTTCATAATGAACACTTCTTAACACTTTATTAGTTGTGACCAAAGCCACAATATTACCTTTGGTTTCCACAAATTAATTAAATATATTTTCAAATGTATAAAAAACTGGCACAAGTAATTTCACATTTAATCTAGCACCTCCTTGTCCACTGGCATTTGTGAGAGAATTTCAATTCATCAGGCTAATGTGCGTGATTCATTTGTCCCCTTTGTGTGACAGAATTTGAAAGTTGGACAAAGTTAAGAAGGAAACCAGCCTAGTGTCTTAATTTATTTCTCCAACCCCCCAAAAAAATCCCACATTTTAAGGGCTGTAATAAAAAATTATTATTCATACACACGCATTTTCAAAAATGTTTCTACGTGGCTTTCAGTCTGCAAATTCTTGTGTTTCTTGTGTGATACTGTGTGTATATAAGGAATCATATCTCAAATTGCTATGTGAAATTTTGCAAATTGTGATAATGAAATGTAATCTTTCAAGTTTTGTGTAAATCACAGTTCAAATGGGAAATAACATTGAGCTGCGACTCAAACGGTTCATAAAAGGAGTTAAAAGCTTTATTGATTTCGCTCTTGTGTTTGCAAGTGTAAAGCTTTTTGATTACTTCAAACCTTCCAGCATTAAGATAGATGTTTTTTATTATCTCAACCTGCCAGAATAAATTATTCTTCAAATAATTGATTTGATTCACCCCTTTCATTTCACACTGTACGAGGGTTTCAGTCAAAGTAAAATTTCAAGAATTTGGTTATTCATGAATAAAATATAACAAGATCACATGATTACGTTACTGATCTTACTGAAATTAAAAAGCTATCATGAAGAAAGTGACCTCAGCATGTAGGGGTTGAGTCATCTGTATAATCAAACACTACAGGTTTTCTCATTCCTCCAGTTGTAATGAGACGGCTCTGGTAATAAATAGTAGTGTTGTTGCCGGAAAATTTCAAACGACACCACGGCTTCGACGAAATCAACAACTCACTTCTGGACGGACGAGGAGAACCGATAGAAATGTCGCCAGATAGTTTGTTGTTGCTGTGACGTATAGGTCAACCGGAAGTGGTTCTACAACCACTTGTTGAACGGGGTGCAGCGCCACATAGCGTAGCGGTGTCAGCCATGCACCGGCCATCTATTTGATTCTCTGAACGGCATATGAAAACATGTAGACATGTGGTAAATCGTTTGTATTGATATGTTGCTTTTCTAGTTTTGATGACCACTCAACAGTACAGTTTTGCCATTCAATATATGTCCCCACTTTTTCACCGGGAGTTTTATTTTTTTTTATTTTAGCATATGTAGCGTGTGGGAAGCGCCATCAACCCTCCTCCACTTGCGGTAAATCCAGTGTGTGTGTGTACACATATACTGTATGTCTTTACTTTGTATTTTCTCAGGATTGTGCACAGCTGCTAACTGCTCGATGATTCCTCCCCCGGGTTTGAGTGAGACGTTGGACATGTCACGTAGGAGATACGATGTTGATGTGAGTCATAAGGGGGGGTATGGATGGTAATCACACAAAAGAGTTTCACAATATAAAACAGGAAACAATTGACAGTGGATGACAAACACCATGCACAATACTGATGCCTCATTCTTAAATTGGGAATATATTGGCACAGGAACAACTGAATGATTCTTATTTTCAACAGTTTGTTTCATTTTCATAGTCTGTATTTATAAAGATCTTTTCTAGTCTTGCTGGCCACTCAAAGCTCGTAACAGTACAGTTTTGCCATTCATGCATAAACAAACACATCCATACAGTTCATCTATGGGCAGCACTTTCTCTAGTATGCATCACTCATACAATAGCAGCAGTCATCAGGGGCAATTTGGGGTTCAGTATCTTGCCCGAGGTCACCCCATGCAGAACAGGGGAGATGGGGATCAAATCGCTGACAGTCTTGTTAGTGGATAACCCGCTCTGCTCCCTGAACCACAGGCAGTTCAAATGGGTATCATTGAGTGCATTCATCTATTTCATCTATTTATTAAAAGTAACATGTTACTTTGAGGAGCCGAATATAGGTGCATATATATTTACAAGTTTCGCCCCAACACTGGTTCTATTTTAAGTGCCGGCAAATCACCTGCAACCACCCTCACTGCCAAATTACACCCTGCATGCTGCTCACTGATAAATGGTAACCCAAGATTACATTTCCAACATTCTGTCCACTGACAGAGAGAGGGTAGAAAAAAAACATCAAGTCGTCAAGAATGAATATGGGGCTTCAGCAGATAGTGATGCTTTTAGATAAGACGTCTCTCCATCCATTTTTCTCTGGTATGTCAGGAGCAAAGTCAAGACATTGGAGAAATGTTGAAATGTAGTATACTGTTGCACTCGAGATTACTACATTTGCAAATTGGGAGGAAAGAGGAAGTGGAGTATTGTGCAACAGCATTTTTCGTAGAATTATTTTTCAATAATATGGATCAGAGTGACACACCATGTCATAATGCCAGCCTTAAATTGCACTATTGCTGAATATGGATATTCAGAGCAGGGCCATCGTGGGAATCAAGTGAACTCAAGTAAAAACTGGATACGTTTCAAAACCAGCTAATTACTGTTTAGAAGCACATTCCAATTCAATCACCTGCTCGTCTGTGGCATAACACTCTAATCACAAGCTCCAAGTTTCCTCCAAAAATATCTCATGTTGAGAATTTGATTTAGATGTTTGAGAGGTTTCACTGCAGGATTATCTCAGATTCAGTGACGTTCCGTCTCTGTAAGTCATGTCGTCTGGTGTCACTGGTTGTTGGATGAGACAGATTTATAGACTAAATTAATCTACAATCCACTGACAATTAGACAGGAAGCAACAATATACCGGCAGCATATTGACATTTATAAATTATCAGGAGATGACATATCCCAAGAGTAGACCATTTGGTACCATCACAGTTACCTGACGTCATAATGCTCCTCTCATGAAACCCGAAATACTAAGTATCAAAGATTTTTGCCAGAGACAATGCTCGACATATGTGGCATGGGTTTTGTTAAGGGGCCAAAGAAAGTGCAGTGTTGAATAAAGTGCGATTTGGACACGTGATACTTTCAATATTAACAAATATTTATAATATATATTAAATAAACAGGTGACCAGAGCTCTTTAACAGCAGCGGCCGGAACTCATCAACGTAAGTGACATTGTCTCTCACGGCAACAGCGTGTTCACGACGACTGTTTCTCAGGTTTGGGATCACTAAACCTTTCCCACGCCTAAATTACTGCAGGTCACTTTTAGAGTTTCAGAAAGAAACTCTGCAACCAGCATTACCACAGGCCAAGCAAACAGGCAGGTTTAGAACAGTATATATATATATATATAATGTAATAATATAGCAGTTACCATCCTCAGATGAGGGCTTGACAATTGTTTCTATATTTCGTTTTACCCCATCGACGGTGATATGTTGTGGTTTCTCTCTTGTGACAAATGTTGTAAGTCGCTTCGGACAAAAGCGTCTGCTAAATGCCCTAAATGTAAATGTAATATAGTGTTAACTCCCTGTAATAATCTTATGAAAAATTCCTTCTCCTCAAAAGTTAAATCCAGAACAATATTTTCGTGAACAAGTGAGGGAAACCAAGTTGTTTATTACTTGCTCTAGAGCAGATAACGGGAAACACTCGTTGCAGTAAAACCAACAGGAGGGAGAGAGAGTGAGAGTGGTTCTCCTCAAACAGCAAATGACAAGAAGATTTACTGAGGACAATGAGTCTGTTTTATCACTGCAGAGCACAGTGACAGGAACACTGTGTGTGTGTGTGTGTGTGTGAGAGAGAGAGAGACAATAAGAAAGCTTTGCCTTTTTCACTAACCTCTCAATAGACAGGAACGACACGTATAACCATGGTAACTGCAAACAACAAGGAGGAGGTAGCTGTAGCCTTTAAGTGCAGAGAAGACCTAAAAGATGAAAATGCAACACAAACCTGAAAGTCAGGCTGATACACTTTTTCATCGAGACACAATCAAAACCAAGTGTCAAAAGGAACACTGATGAAACAGTGTGCCGCGTCTGTAAACACACGTTGATGAGTAATATCAGAATTCCACTCTGGGGTTTAAACATCAGCTCTGTACTCAGATGTACAGAGCTTAAATTTCAGATGCCAAAGAGTCGACCATGCTTGTGCGCTTCTTAATTGATTTGCACCTGCATGTGAAGTGTTCCACACACTCTTCTTGAGACCAATTCTCCTATGATACCCAACAGCTCTGGTCCTGGATGAGTGTGTGCCTTGTGTTGGCTGGAACTGCATCACCACTAAGCCTGTGTGCTGCGTCGCTTCTGTGTTTGAGTCATCTTTCATTTCTACAATACACCCACACTCTCTACTGATTCCCCACCACCACATCCTGTGTTAATTAATGACGATAAAAAAAAAAAACAACAACTCCAGCTTCGGATTCCAAACAGATTTTAAAGTGCATCTCCTTCCTTTGTTGCTGGTTGTAACACTGTAGTAACACTCTGATCATCAGATTTTACTCCAAATCTATCAAATAGAATGCATCCTTCACAACAACTATCCAGCATTATATAAGAATTCAGAACGCCTGAATGCATGTGCTACATTCTGCTGTGATAGCCTGCCTCACTCATTCTTTACTCTGAAGTAAAAAAGATTGGATTAATGAATGAACCCATAACTTTCATGATTATATGACTCTTAACTCCTAACCTACAAGGTTATTACAGGTCGCAGAGAGCTGTGTCTGTGCGCTTGAGAAAACAGGAGGGGAGCCAATTAAGTCGTTTTATTATTGAACATTTTTTAAATGCACAGTCATTGTCTAGTACTTTCGCAATTTCACCTGTTCTTACAATATGTCAAAAAAGTCATAACATATACAAACGCTGCAAAATTATAGAATTTACAATTCCATAGGGTTAGTTTCCGTATTCAATCTCATTTATTTCAAAGTGTCATGCGTCGGAAAGTCCACATGTGGACGGCTTTTGTTATCTCCTCACAAAGTGGTCTCTAGTGCCAGTAGTCTCTTGAATATTTGCATGTGTGTAGAAATTGCTGCATTAATTAATGACAAGGAGAGAGGAGAAAAAGGGCCGCTCCCACTTTGTGTTAATCTCCTGGTGCAAACTGGCTTGTGTTCTGAATACCAGCCCCACAGGAGAACAAGAGAAAAGAAATGAACATCTCCCTACTTGCCAAAAGAATGTTGTAAAAGTTTGCTCTCTCCGTAGAGATGGGCAGAAGAAAGAGATCTCTCTTTTCTTCACCTTCATGCTGTGTTTCATTTTTACTTTTTAATGGAAGTGTCAAGACGCTCTCAGGGGTCGTCTGCTTGTGGGGAATGAGAATTAATTGGAGGATTAGAGCTACATGCACCCTGCACCCTGTCTTGACTTATAACATGGCTTTAGGGTCTACACTACTGCCTCCTCTGATGCTGACTGTGTGTGTGTGTGTGTGTGTGTGTTTCAATATATGAGACAGAAAAAAAACATTCATTAGGTGTTGCATATTAGTGAGTCTTAACAATAGAAATCTTTATTAATGTGCTCTCCTGAGAAATAAACAAACAGAATAAATAATCGACAGCATGTATTAACATGTAAGTAATGAATTCTGTGACCTTTCCCTCAGCGCC